CAGAGATGTTTTTATTCAGCTTGTGTTAAGATTTGCAGACATACACTAAACTGTTTTTTCTCTATTAGGCCACTTGGTGGCAGGCTTTTTTATTCTTTGCAGTTGCAGTGATGAAATGTAATAAATCACATTCAAATGTTTGTGATGAGTTAGTGAAATGTACAAAAAGATACTTAAGGTAGTGCTGTAAAGGACGTGTGCTACATAAATAAAGCTGTCTTTCATACCCAGGTTAGGGTCATAATGAGTAGAGTTGAGAGCACAAACCACTGTTTATTTTTGATTTCACGTGTGTGTGTGTGTGTGTGTGTGTGTGTGTGTGTGTGTGTGTGTGTGTGTGTGTGTGTGTGTGTGTGTGTGTGTGTGTGTGTGTGTGTGTGTGTGTGTGTGTGTGTGTGTGTGTGTGTGTGTGTGTGTGTGTGTAAAATTGAAACATGCTTATTTTTTTATAAATACAGAAAAAAACCAACTATGTCCAATCCAGTCTTTAAGGTCGTGTCATGACTCGAGGTACGTGCCTAACCCAAGACATGCAGAATCAGACTCGACTAGTAGGTTGAGTAAAAGAAAAGTTCTTTATTCACAAAACGGGAACAAAAATAGCACAGGGAAGTCCTGTGGTGGATGAGCAGTACAGCTCGAGTCCATGCAGCGCTCGGGGGGTGGATGAGGGAGGCGGGAAAGCCGAGGTGTGCGCTGGGCAGAGGGTGAGCGATCCGGGATGGGTGAGGTAGCAGAGAGGGGCCAGACAGGAACAATGGCGGAGGATGGGACATGGAGCATGTAGTAATCCAGAGTCAAACAGCGAGGGTGAGGTGGGTTGTGTGAGGATCCTGAGGGAAGGCAAACAAACACCAGGCATAAGGGGTAATCCAAAAACGTAATCCAAAAAACAGTCCGAGGCCAAAATCCAAGTTATCCAAGAGCGAGTCAAAGCGAACAAACGAGTACACATGCAAGCGGCTGGGGCTACCTCAACTGGTGCAATCATCCGGCGTAGTGAGGTGTCTCCATCCTCCTTTTAAACCAGAGTTCCTGACTGGGAATCTCCTGCAGCTGCAGCCCCCTCCGCTCCTCGCCTGTGGGAAATCAGCTCAACAACGGTTAGACTGGAGATGGTGTCACTCACCTCGGCTCTGGAACATGACGGGCCGCTTTATTTGTGCAGCACATTTCATACACAGAGGGGATTCAGCGTGCTTTCCGGGAGCATAAACACAACACACAAATACATTTAGATCAAATTAAATACACAAATTAAATTCTGATTTAATAATCAGATAAAAGGGAGATGAGCAGTTACAGTGCAGAAGGTGCAGCATAAAAAAAACAGTCAATCAAAGGCTGATGAATACATGAAGGTTATTAATGTTGGTTTTGAGTCACTAGAGTTGGGGCACTTTAAAGGTCAGAAGGAAGCCGATTCCATCTGTGTGCAGCATAGTAGCTAAAAGCAGCTTCACCCTGTCTGGTTCTGACCCGGAGATCTACCAGGTGACTGTTTCCTAAGGATCTCAGAGTCCTGCTGGGTGTAAATACAGGAAGGAGATCCAACACGTATTCTGGTCCCATGCCATTGAGTGATTTATAAACTAGTAGAAGCACTTTGAAATAGATTCTGTGGTTTACTGGTAACCAGCTCGGTTCTCTTGGTTCTTTTTCAGCAGCGTTCTGAATAAGCTCAAGTTTTAGTTCAAGTTTTTTATTTGAAATCCAGGAAGTTTTTTCACCCCCCCCCCCCCACCCCCCATCTTCATCATCAACGATTTACAAAGCAGACCCTTTTAAAGAGGAAGGTGCCAGGTGGATGAACTGCACCAAGCCTTTGAACAGGAAAGTAGTCCATTAACAGGCATGAACATCTATTATTTTATATTTAAACAACGTTTCGTCTAAGTCTAATTAAATCACTGCTGAATGTTTGCTTATTCATGTTCAGAGCCTTTGTAGATAAACAGTCTGAGGTCAAAATCAGATTAACGACAAATAATTAAAACAAGCGCCTCCACATAACGTGTAACGAGGAATAAACACTTCCCGGCCTCCATCGCTGACATTTTTAATTTTAAAATCCCAAAGATTACAAGGAAATGTGTGAATAAAAAGTCTGTTTGAACAAGCTCCATGACTTTATAATAACAGACTAACACACCCAGTTGTACAACAATGAGTTAAAAAAAAACCTGTTAAAGGCACTGTGATACATTTTATCACCAGGGTACTGCCCTTTTTCTTTGAACGATACAGATCTTTAACTCAAGTAACTCAAAAACACGATTTTCTAAAGTTTGTGTTTACGACGGATCACAAGAATGAGTTCAATGGTTAACCTTTTGCGTGTTTCTGATAAAACCAGACAAAGTGAAACTACTCTGGTGTGTTGATATTGTGCTGAGCCGTTTACTGAGCCATGATGAGTAGATTTGTTTTGTGCTGAAAGGTTTTTGATGGAAACTGCTGATGGAATAAGATCTTTCACATTCGTCACCACAGAACTGTCCAGTTACATTTGCAGTTGAATTATTTCATATTCTCCATTAACATGCCCTGTAGCTACTGCAATTTTTCAGTTTTTGTACAATTAAAGGGGCATTATGGAAGTTTGACGGCCAAAACATGTATAGAAATAATAAATTTCTTCTTCATACATTCTCCTGCAATGCCCTGGTCCTGTAGAATGAGCCCTGGCATTTTTACTGTGATTGCCTGTTTTTCTGTAAAATCACAGAAAAAGAGAGATGCTCGGGTCGAGCAGGCTGCTTCGTGCGCGTTCACGCTCAGGCATCGCCCTCCGAACCGTTCTTTGAACGATGTTTCAGCTGTCATCAAGGATATAAATGTTACAGATACAAAGGATGTCATTGGTGCTTTAGCTCACCTAGTAAAACATCAGACTTTTGTGCAGAGGATCCGGATTCGAATCTAGATGTGAACATAGTTTATTTAGAGTTAATTTTTTACATTAATGGTATATTTTTTACAGTAAGATGCCCAAATTTTTATTTGAGACTCGCCGAACGGCATTGAATTCACAGATAAAAAAAGATGTGGGTTCAACTTTCATTTTGGAACAATTTTTCAAGCAAGGGAAGGGAATGATCTGAGCATGCAGGAGGACTGACCCATCTTAAACCTTTGTCGGCTGTGCTGAAGAGAAAGGTACAGAACCAAATTATTTAATTAATTAGCTGCACGTTCTCCTGCCCTCTGTCCTCCGGGCCACACACACACAAGGGACTGTCTCAGCTGTTATTTTCGTTAGGGAGTGTGCACGTACAGCATGCACGCCTCGTGCACAAGCCTACTATTGAAGCTGCCATTACGGTTTTGGCCTGAGGGGGCAATCACGAGCATAAAAATTAAAAACTCCGTAAAGTCCCTTTAAGACCCCAGTTCTGCCCGAAGCATCAAAGAGCACTGCTCTGTGTGAGATTAACGCAATAACCCAAATCATTCATGTTTAGCTAAATCAAAAAATGGTTTATGTGAATGTTATTGGACACTTTGCAGTTATCTGATGTTGAACGTCGCTGTTTTGTTTATAAAACATTATGACATTTATATGACTGGTAACAAGACATTGCTTGTCTTGTGTGTGTGTGTGTGTGTGTGTGTGTGTGTGTGTGTGTGTGTGTGTGTGTGTGTGTGTGTGTGTGTGTGTGTGTGTGTGTGTGTGTGTGTGTGTGTGTGTGTGTGTGTGTGTGTGTGTGCTCTGTCTTCTCGATCCCAAGTGAGTCGTGGAGGATGGCTGCTTATACTGAGCCAGGATTCTCTGGAGGTTTCTTCCTGTTAAAAGGGAGTTTTCCTCTCCACTGTCGCTGCATGCTTGCTTAGTATGAGGATTGCTGTATAGTCACTGACACTAGTCAGTGACTTGATGCAATTTGCTGGGTTCCTTATATAGGAAACATTATTTCTGATTGGCTTAATGAACTGTGAATTAGAATGTTTATTATGTGAAGTGCCTTGAGACGACTCTTGTCGTGATTTGGCGCTATATAAATAAACTTGAATTGAATTGAATTGAATTGAACAAAATAAGGATTTGTGTAGGGTTCAGATTGTGCCGTAAAATATTAAATAAGTCGTCACTTTTTCCTTAAAGCTATGAAGGTCTTGTAATCAAAACTTCTGCAGTGGTCTCTCAGAGAAATGAATACAGGAACTAGAAGTGAGCCACATAAGAGTTGAGCTTCAGACAACAGGATTTGGAGTTTTACTTCCTGATGTTTGGACATCTCGCCTCGGATTGGCTAACGGCAACGCTGATGTTTTGTCTCCGCAAGTAACCCAAGCTTGAAGGAGTTCTGCTGTGTCGTGGAGTTGCTAATGCTAATGTTAGCTTCTGCTAGCTAAGACGTGCTCTGCTGTTTCCTGGACGCTAAACCAACTACAGCCTTCCCCGTCATGAGCCAAGATGGGCGAGTCCATGACTGTTAAGTGACAGAGTGACGTAGATCTGTCAGGATCTAGAGTTTCACCGTCTGTGTTCTATCAGAAGCTGATGCAGGAGATAAGTGTAGGAGACTATTCTCATGTTCAGCCTGCATGAAAAATTAAGAGTGACCGATCAGAATCAGAAATAAGATTTTAAAAAGTGATTTTGGTATTAAAGTATTTTCTTCCTGAGTAAATGTGCCTTCTTTTTTTTTTTGCACAATAAATGTGCCCTTTTACAATCTCATATAGGAGAATAGTGCTACTACAAGGGTGCCTAACTGAAAGTGAAAAAAGAATTATGTACATTTAGCTGAGAAGATTTTAAAATGTGTAATTTTATCAACCAGGTTAAACTGAGTCATTCACATCCACATAGCTACAGGTCAGAGGTTGTGTGTGTGTGTGTGTGTGTGTGTGTGTGTGTGTGTGTGTGTGTGTGTGTGTGTGTGTGTGTGTGTGTGTGTGTGTGTGTGTGTGTGTGTGTGTGTGTGTGTGTGTGTGTGTGTGTGTGTGTGTGTGTGTGTGTGTGTGTGTGTGTGTGTGTGTGTTTCTCTTTCTCCACTGTTTTTATAGGTGACCCCGTGAGGAAAGTTGACCATTGAGCAGTGAGGTGGTGCTCACTCCTCATCCCTGCCACATGGACCCAAGGGGTAAACCATCAACCCTGCTCAATGGTCAACTTTCCTCGCGGTGTCACACCCATTAGGACAGTGGGAGGGTTAAATGTTACTAAAGGTTTGCGGTTTTAACAGGTTCTGAATGAAGGCATTATCAGTGTCACGCACCTCAAAACCCTAAAAAAAACAAGGACGTGTCCAAGGAGGTTTGTTGGTGACCTTTGGGCTCTGGTTGTTCAGCAGCAGAAGAGAATATCACTAAGTGGCGCAGACCTGTGGAAAAGCAGCACATATTAACGAAGGCATGTTTGTAGTAGAGTTGTGTGAGCCGTTGTGAGACGAGGTTTCCAGACACCAACAATAATATCAATCTCTGAACACCTTTGGGGTTTCCTGGTGAACTGAAACCAGCAGTGTTGGTATGTTTGTGTGTTTCTCTTGGTGTCACGTTCCTCTCTGTCAACAGCCGCTTGGTCTTCCCATCCCCCACACGCACGTTTATGAACGTCTGGGCAAAGCAGTAACAGAACACATGTAAACACAACAGAAACAAAACACCAGTCCCATCTCAGCGAGTCGTGAACACGTTTGAGTCTGCAGCTACCTTTGTTTACACCTTGCTTTTCCCCGAGATAGGCTTCAGCACATTCCTTCACGGGACACAGACGGACTCATGCAAGGTCAACGGAACTGCTCCTCATAAGCCCTAAAGGTGGAAATAAAACTCCCAGCACACGGGATGGCTTCAGAAAATGTTTCTTTTTTATGTGAGGAGAGGAGGAAGAAAGGGATGAGGGGTGAGAACGATAGCTTTTAGTAGGAATTTGGGATACGACTGGGTGTTGCCCCATTGTTTTCCATTATCCTGAAAAAAAAAAAAACCACAAGGTAGAAGTGTTTAGTTACAACTCGTAAGCACAGGTTTCCTGCCAGAGCTTCTCCACAGCTAGACTGCAACAGTGTTCACCATCCAGGTCATATTCCATAAACATACGGCCCAAATACTACATAAAAACTCGGAACCTCTTGTCTTTCCCTAGCCTTCGTGCACACGGTGACGTTAAACCTATTGGACAAAGACGTCGGCCAGACTCGGGTCATCAGAGCTCTGCGGCCGTGGGCAGGTTACCAAGTGGGCGCAGTCTGGAAAACAAAGACCCGGGGTATTCATTCATTCCTGCTCCGTCTCAGAAGAACTGGTTCTGCGGCTCTTCCTCTTATTGTGTGATTTTGTTTCATGTGGTTCAATATTTTGGTTCAAATCTTCAAGCCTTGGTCGTTCGTGACAAACTCAGAGTGACTGATTACAATCAGAAATAATCATTAAATTTGTTTTTGTTTTTTAGTGAACCACACCTTTAAAACATCCAAAAAGCAAAAATAAGAACAGACGAGGAAGAGAGCTGTTGTCCGAGCATTATCGGAGCTCTTTATTGTGTGATTAGTGACTCAAGGTGTTGCTTTCGTGTGTGTTTATTGTGGAAATATGTCAGATGTGTGTATCAAAAGTTGTGGGGACCTGAGACAAACAGAGAACAATACAAAAAGCATTTTAAGGCAGAGAAACACATGAAATAACAAACAGCGTAGGATTTATGGCTACAGGAGAAAACGAATAAACAAAAACAAAAAAAGTTTGGTAACTGACATTGTAACCAGCCAAGCATTTACCAGTGCATACAAATATATAACTTCATGTAAAAAAAATTCACTTCGAGGTCACGTTGCATCTGTAAGCCCTTGATTACAAACATAAATAATTAAAAATACTCTAAAACTCTTTTTCCTTTGGGTTTTTCTCCGTAGATGAACTCGGTTTGGAGAAGACGGGTGGTCTTGATCCATTTGTTTTTGTCACTGATCACATTTCTTGCTGTGTTTGACATTTTGACATTCTGAGACAACAAGCATGTAACGACTAAAGCCGAGTTTAGGCGTGGGTTATATCAATATTTGCTCACGCTCAGTCCTGACCACACCTCTCAGACATGCCAGAAGATAAAAGAAAAGTAGAAAAAGAGCCGGCTTGGCTTGTATCAATGCTGTTATTTCACTTTGATCAGTAATTTAGAACAAACTAGAGCTGAGGTTTGACTGTGATCGTTTAACTTTCATTGCATAGGCTTTCCCGTTTGCTCTCTCAGTTGCACATGCATTATTGCACCGGGTGTCTTCGCTGTGCATAAAGGCAACTAAAAACGGTGGATTTTCATGCCAAACCGTAGATATCGGGATATTAGGTGTCAGAAATAGCACTACAAAACTAACGTTCTCACTGCAGATGTTGCAGATGTGCAACACCGAACACTCCGACAATATCTTTTTCACACTTTTTCTTTAACGACAGTTTTTCCGTCCTGTACATAACTGACCTTCAGATGAGCAGAACGTGTCACTTTGTTTTATAACCAACACAGAGAATGGTGTGTTTATGCAATAAAACATGTTGCTAACAGTTTCAAACATTTGTCCAAGTTGTTATAATTTCAGTGCATTTTGAAAACATTTTTAGAAAACAGATAAAAATCCTTGTATCACCACTTTACGTTATGAAGCACAATACATTTCACTTTACAATAAGAGTCATTTTATTAACGTTACTTAATAATAATAATACATTGAACTTATATAGCGCTTTTCAAGACCCCCAAAGACGCTTTCACACACTCTCACATTCACACACTGCTAGTGATGGTAAGCTACTTGTAGCCACAGCCGCCCTGGGGAGGTCTGACAGAGGCGAGGCTGCCATTTGGCGCCGTCGGCCCCTCCGACCACCACTAACACAGGCAAGTTGGGTGAAGTGTCTTGCCCAAGGACACAACAGCAGGATACCCCTGGCGAGAGCTGGAATCAAACCCATGACCCTCCGATCATGAGGCAACCCGCTCTACCACCTGAGCTACTGCTGCCCCATTTAGTGCATTATTAGGTATCAATAAACAAAGGGTCCCTTTATTAACGTTACTTTTATTGTTGACTATTAAGTGTCCTTTAGGACAAAGGGTTGGGGAGGTTGTCTGCAATAATTTGGAACTTTAGCGCATCCTAGTAAAAATTTAAAGAGCAAGTCACCCCTACCAGATTCCTACTCCACTCCCACTTCCTGTTTGAAAAATGCAACAAATGCTGTTGCCTAGCAGACCGAGAGGGCGGAGCCGCTAACAAATACACACACACACACAGGCTCACAACGACATTGTGACATCATATGGTACCAGCTAACGTTCTAGGGTACCTCTTAGCCAATAGCGATGGCAGATTTAAATTCAAATGCAGTGCAGAGTTTTCACCTGACAACGGCACAACACTGACAGTTTTAGGCAGAAAATTAAAATTTTAACTAAAATGCACTAAAGTGCTAAACTATTCACTACACGTGGCTGCAGCACGATTAGACACGCATTTATATAGTTTATCAGAAAAAAAAAGTTAATTTGGGGTGACTTGCCTTTTAAATATGGTTCCTAAAACTGTCAGTGTTGCGCCGCCTTCAGGTTAAAACTCTGCACTGCATTTGAATATAAATCTGCCTTTGCTATTGGCTGAGAGGTACACTAAGACATTAGCTGGTACATTATGATGTCATGATGTCGTTGTGAGCCTGTGTGTGTGTGTATTTGTTAGCGGCTCCGCCCTCTCGGTCTGCCCGGCAGCAGCATTTGTTGCATTTTTCAAACATGAAGTGGGAGTGGATTAAGACTCTGGTAGGGGGAGACTTTAAAGAGGAACTAGGCAGTTTTGTCTTGCTTTTAGCACCCCCTAGTGTTCGTTTTTAGAACCAAAAGCAAAACTCATCTCCTCACTGTGTTTTTGTCTTTTTAGCACCTTAATCTAACAGCTGAAATGTCCCCCTGAGCTTCATTAGTGTCTACAGGGGTGATTCATCACTAAATTATGATCTAAAACGTGCAGGAAACGTGCCAGGTTTGTCAGCTCCCAACAGACCAGCCCGCCAGCCTGAAGTTGCATGTGGAATATTCTGACCACAGGGGGCGACAGGGACTGGGGGCCTTCATTAACCCTGAAAAGGGTCATTAAAGCACATACTGGCTCAAGGAAATTATTTAAAAATATGAAAAATTATGCCTTCAATAATGCATATAGTTACATTAATAAAGGGACTCTTATTGTAAAGTGTTAACTATTTCAGTATGAAACTAACAATAAAAACAGCTCAGCAGCATAAAGGAAATGATGATATTTTATAGTAAAACCAGCATGCTACTGAAATCCCACAAGTATGACCCTATCATGCAAAACCTGGTGGAGGTATGCACTCATACAGGACATATGCAAACATCTCACAATCAGAATGTGAAATTAAAGTACTGCTGTGTAATACCACAGGGTGAGGCCAGAGGGACGTAAAAATAAGTGAGTACGGCTCTGATTTCCAGGCGACTCCAGTGAAATCTTTTTTTTTTTTTGCAGACTTGATAACTTTGTTGCAGGTGGGAGGGGCTTGAGACAACATGGCAGCTAAAGATTCAAACAGGAAACGATTTACACACGTCTCCTTTCCGTCATTTTCCTCCGTTTTTTTTTTTTTCAGTTCATGAGTGCCACGGTGCTTTCATTTTGACCGCCAAAAATACCAGAAAAAAACTCCAGAGCCAGGCGCACATGGATGGGGACAAAGACGTACGAGGTGTAGATCACCATCGCAATGGCGGAGAAAAAAACTGAGTTGAAGATAGATTTTTCCCATGGTTCCAGGACGTAGATGCCAGTGATGAGTAGGTACTGGTAGTAGAGCCAAGCCAGGTACTCCCTCACGTTTTTGAAGTTCATCCTGCGAGCTGAGAGGAAAGAAGGTGGATTATGAATGAGTTTCCTTCGGTTAGTTCTGTCTGCTTTCCTCTCTCTTACACAAATAAGAGCTGCCCTGAGAAGGTGTGAGGAAACTGTAAATTATTTCAGAGTGCAAACAACCAGAAAGGTATTCACTGGACTGTGACGCCTCGTCCTCTATTTGGATGTTTTGCCAAACATGTCTACCTGCAGAAGTGTAGCCAACTTTGTGCATGCTCACAAATTTTTTTTCACTAGAAGAAAGGACAGAAAGAGTGTTTTTTCGCTAACATTTTAATGTCTAACCAGATTCGTCTTACAACATCTTTTGTGTTTTCTTTCTGTGTGCTTCTTCTGATTGCATTATTCAGTTCCTTTTTTAAGACAGGAAAGGTTGTTTTAACTTTTTTGCTGACAGTTTCGACCACTCCTGTGGTCCTTCAGAGCTAGCCGCTAACACGGCGTCACTTCCTTTTCTGTTTATCAATTCAATTCAAAAATACTTTATTAATCCCAGAGGGAAATTGATTGCTGTAGTAGCTCAGAATAATAATAAAGTCATCAAAGAGTTATTGTATATTACAATGGCTGTTGGCAGGAAGGATCTCCAGTAGCGGTCAGTGTTGCAGTGAAACTGAAGAAGCCTCTGACTGAAGACACTCTTCCGTTGTCGGACAGTCTTGTGAAGAGAATGCTCAGGGTTGTCCATCATTTTCTTGATTCTCTGGAGAATCCTTCTTTGCATTATCTCCTCCAGCGGTTCCAAAACTGCCGAAACTCTGGCTGAGTCCTTGAAAGGACTTGGAGTTCCTCCATCTTGTTGGCTAGTGATCTCACATTGCCCATTATGATCGATAGAAGAGATGGTTTGAATTTCCTCTTTCTCTGTCTCCGTTTTGCTTCCGCTCTGCACCCACGCTTCTTGAGTTTTAGATCATTTGGGATTTGTGGCTTCAGATGAGGTATTATTTCAGCCTTTCCAATGTTAATCAGCTGCTCCCTATTGTAAACCAGCTTGTTGCCATGGTTACGAATCATAACAAATGCTTAAAAAGTGAAAAAAGCTAAAAAAATAGCAGTAAAAATCCTCCAAGCTTCACAGCACCAGAAACAGAAAAGTAAAGTGTCCACAAAAAAAAAAAAACGTTTTTCTTGAGAAACTAGAAGAAAAAATGCCCAAGAAAAGGCAAAACCTACATATAGTCAATAGAGTTACTCCAACATGCAGCCGCCCAGAGCAGCGCAGTTCCGGAAAAAAATTTAAATAAATTAATCGCCGTTTATCGTCCTCTGCTGCCCGCGCTCTCCTTACGGATGACACAGTCCCACATGCGATCCAATGTGTAGACGCCATTGTTTCTGTTTGTGATTCTGTGTGCAAGTCTCCTTATTTACATGACTTCCTTAATCCATCTTTTGTATTTTTGTTGATCTGTTTATGATCCTACGTAGGTGGGCCTCATATGGAACCTATATGGCCAAGCTGTATGGGTCCCACCAGGTTAGTCCGCATTTTCCATGGTGGGCCCACAGAGGTTTGCCCACGTAGATTTTAACGGGCCCTACATGGGTTTTCAGAGGGTCTAGAATGTTCCTTTCTATGCTCTGTTGTTCTTGTGTTGAGTTGGCGTCCGGATTCTCTTATGAACGTTTTATTGCAGAGTTTGCCTGGGATTTCATAAATGACTCCACACTTATGTCCTGCTGATATCTTGTCCTTTGGGTGTACTAGACTCGTTTTAACTGTTGTGTGTGGGTTTGTTGGTGTGTTCATATCGTGTTTTTTAATAGTAGCTGGTATTTTTTTCTGTAACGCCTTTGATGTATGGAAGAGTTATCACTGGTTTTGGTTCTTGTCTTTCTGGATTTCTGGTTGTTTGTTTTGGTTGTTCTTTTCTTTTCGTTTCGTTGTTGTTTTCCTTTGTTTGTTGCCCGTGTCGGGTATCCGCAGGTCTTTAAAGCGTTTTGTATATCCTCTTGTTTACGGTCTCGTTCCTCTATTGTGTTCGCTCTGTGGTATAATGTTCGGATCACTGACATTTTATGTATGGTAGGGTGTTCTGATGTCCACATGTTTGTGTGTGTTGGTTTTCTGTATGTGTTTATGTTCAGTGTCCCATCTTATTTTCTGCCTTGTGTCATGTTCATGAACGTTATGCTGCCCTCTCTTTCATCCTCACATATAAATGTCATGTTGTTTGTTTATGTTTATGCATTTAGCAGACGCTTTTGTCCAAAGCGTCTTACAAGTGATAATCGGCATGTTGCCATTGAGGCTAACAACAACAATAACAACAACAACCGATTTCCAGTCAGTCGTAGGTGGCAGTGAGGCAGCATGATGAATCATGGAGAGGAGGGAACAAGGAGTGGACAGTAGAGAGGGGGGACGGGTGCAGGGAGGGTGCTAGTTTAGAAGATGCTATCTGAAGAGCAGGGCCTTCAGGAGTTTCTTGAAAATTGAAAAGGAAGCCCCTGTTCTGGTAGTGCTTGGTAGGTCATTCCACATTTGTGGAACGATGCATGAGAAAAGTCTGGATTGTCCTGAGCGTGGTGTAGGCACTGCTAGCCGACGATCCTGTGATGACCGGAGTGGCCGGGCCGAAACGTAAGCCTTTGCAAGAGGATTCAGGTAGATGGGAGCCGTACCATCTCGGACTTTGTATGCTAGTGTTAGCAATTTGAATTTGATGCATGTTGTTAGCGGTAGCCAGTGGAGCTCAATGAACAGAGGGGTGACGTGTGCTCTTTTTGGCTGATTGAAGACCAGACGCACCGCTGCGTTCTGGACCATTTGAAGAGGTCTCCAGTTCAGCCTGGAAGACCAGTTAGAAGGGCGTTGCAGTAATCGAGGCGGGAGATGACAGTAGATTGCACCAGGAGCTGGGTTGCATGTTGTGTTAGGTATGGTCTGATCTTTCGTATGTTATACAGCGCAAAGCGGCATGAACGAGCAACAGAGGCAACATGATCTTTAAAGGGTCAGGTGTTCATCAATCACAAGACCCAGATTTCGAACTGCCTTTGAAGGAGCCAGAGATAGGAAGTCATTTTGGATTGAGATATTGTGCTGTATGGATGGTTTTGCTGGGATGACAAGTAGTTCAGTTTTAGAGAGGTTGAGTTGGAGATGGTGGGATTTCATCCATTCTGATATGTCGGAGAGACAGTTTGATATTCGTGCAGAGACAGTGTGGTCATCCGGTGGAAATTTGTTTGTGCCGTCGACATTTTTCAGGTGTTCTGTTAGTGTCTCCTTTTGTCCTTTGGGTGTGATTTCTAGTATGCCGTCCACGTGGCGTTTCCATTATTTTATTTTGCAGTTTGGGGAAACACACAACCACACACAGAGACGATGGGGTCTACACACTGAATCACCCATGGGACTGTGTCATCGGCGAGGAGAGCGGTGCCGCCCTCTGCTGCCCCCGGATAAACGGAGAAGGAAGTGACGCCGCCATTAGCAGCTAGCTCTGAAGAAGACCGCAGAAGCGGTCGAGACTGTCTAAAAGGTCAAACTTACATTGAACTAAAGAGGTAAAATAACCTTTCCTGTGTTAAAAAAGAACAATTAATGCAATCGGACTCATCTTGACAACAAATTCACCGTGTCAAATATAAAAATGAGCTTTAGGATAATCATTACTCATGACTGGAATCTTGCTTTGCATTGTGATCTGGTTTTTTTTTAGCATAAATAACTCATTACAAAAACATTTTATTAAGTTAAACACTTGAAAATGCAGCAGCATGGTGGTAAACACACAGATAAACAAGTCAGAAAAAAGTGAGTATTTTTCTATTTTTAGTCTAGAAATTGATGAGTATTTTTGAAAATGATATACTGCAACCAGCCACATGGGGGGAGGGGGGTGCATGTTTGTGTTTTTGTTCAGGGTTTTAATCTCATTTATTTGTTTGTTTTTTATTTATTTTGCTTGAAATTCAGGTGCTTTCTGCTTGCAGTTGCTGATTTTTTTTGGCAATCCTCCAAAGACGCACTTTTTAAAACAGCCTCCCTCATTTGCATAACAAAGTATAAGCACAACAGGGGGAAAGGAAGAAACATGGTTGGATAAAGAGGTTTACACAGTAAAAAAAAATAGTTCACTGTAAATTATATATAGAAATGAAAGAAAAAATACTGGAAACAAATCATAAACTTAACTTTAGATTTTGATCTATTATTTATGTACATGGTGTATATGTTTTTTAATTGTCCGTTTTAGTCATCTACAGATTCAACTTTGTTCCAAGACATTTTCTTATGCAGTTTCAACATTAGTCCCATGGGATTATAATCTATGAGACGGGAAACGGTGGTTCTTCTCACACCTCTGATCTAAACCCACAGCAGCTCCGGAGGGGCTAATCAAGCAGATTTTATAAACCCTTCATGCAGGCTGTGGGAATAAAATCACCAATGAAATGTGGATTACTGGTCCCACGTGACACATTTACCCTGAGTTTGTTACACAGGAGAAAAAAGCTGCAGTTTCAAAAAGCCCCTCAAGATCAGATCGCAAAACCAAACTGTGCTCCCTAACTACATGTATAATCTGAATCTGTGCAACTATCATATGGAAAGTGTAACACACAAAGGTTGTAAACAGCTCTGCCACAGGTGTAGGGGGCGGAGCCGACAGGTGCAGGTAGCGTTTTTATTTCAGCACACTTTATTTTAATATCAAATCAAATAACAAAACTCATCCTGAATACTCTTGACAATTAATCTCACCCAGAAACTGAACTCTGAAGTTCACATTTAAGCCTCTAATATAATTTCAATTTTTAATCATAAATTATAAATTTGGGGGAGGATTTTTTTTTTTAATATGCAAGGTGTGATCTGGGTCTGTGACCCAATCCGCGTACCGGCCGGCACCGACTCACCTCCGCAGCCGACGTGAACCCCCTAGACACCCCTCTACTGGCAGATTAGGAGGACGAGCTGCGCCTCTGCTGCTCCGCGTAAACGAAAAGCTGCCTCACCAGTTCATCGCTGGCATATATGCTCTCCACATGCAGACCATGAAACCAGCACCACACCCACTCCCAGTGCTTACACTAACCACTCACCTGGCTCGCAGATCACGCAGGTGGAGTGACAGACGGCTGTTTGACGCATAGGCCAGTGTGTGTGTGTGTTATGGCAGCCAGAAGGAAACAGCTGAAGCATCAGGGGGACTCGGTGTCCCGGCTGAGGCTCTTTTCTAGCATTTTAAGATGCGCAGGTTTGCGCCGCATCTTTAAACTTCAGGCGTCGCATCCCCGTATGGCGCTTCTTGTCCAGGCGCGCCGCGACGGACGCTGCGCCGCAGTGACGCAGCAGCAACACTTCACTGCACATGGACCACAAGCTCGTGTCACGTCAGCCTTTTTAAAACAGACAAAGCTACAAAATCATAAACAACAACTTTTATCTGATCTGTATGGGGCGCAGATTATAAAATAATTCATTTATATGGTAAGCTATTTTGTCATATTTAGATCCTCTTAACAAATTTGAGTTTGAAATTCTAAAGTTATTTTTAAGCTAGGATATATTTAGGAAGTGCCAATGTTATGGATACATGTTCAAAGATAAATTAAATAACAATGAAAAGAGATGGGTCTATGTTAAATTATAAATCCCAAATATATATTTTCATATCCAACTATAAATGAGTCGGGTTTAAACTACATGTTTTAGATAACACTACCGAACTAAAATTGGGATAAGAGATTCCCTAACACCTCACATTTTTGTTCTTTTGTTCAAGTTCATTTAATTTATAAATGTTCCCTGTTTGTATTCTGCATGGTATGATCCATGTTTAAAGAGCAAGTCACCCCCTTTTAAACTTCATTAGTGGCAGTGCTGTGAGGCGATTCTCTGCTTGGACAGCAGAGGGCATAACATTTTTCTGGGGTAACCTGCAGACAGAAGAAGAAGAAGAAGAAGAAGAAGAAGATATCTTTTCTATAGCGCCTCTCAAGATAAAAATCTCGAGGCACTTCACAATAACAAAAATTGTAAAAATATAAAAAAGCATTTAGAAAATGTTAAAAATATTTTAAAATGAGCAAAAATAGGCAATTGTGATTAAAAAAATGTTAAGAAAGAGAGAGAGTGAACAAGAAAGAGGGAAATCAGTGGATCCTGAGGAAGGTGGAATAGGTGGGGAGAGCAGAATAAAGACAGGGTGGTGATGAAGGTCATACAAAAGCCAGCTTGAACAAGTGAGTCTTCAGCTGCTTTTTAAAGGAGACCACTGAGTCCACTGATCTCAGGCTCAGGGGGAGAGAGTTCCAGAGTCTGGGGGCCACAGCAGCAGATGATCTGTCACCTTTGGTTTTTAGCCTGGTGCTGCACAACCAGTAGGCTTTGGTCACTGGACCTCAGGGACCTGCTGGGGGTGTAGGGACTAAGAAGATCACCAATGTAAGATGGTGCTTGTCCATGTAAGGCCCTATAGACCAGAACCAGGATCTTGAAATGAACCCTGAAGTTGACTAGCAGCCAGTGAAGCTGGAGGAGAAGCGGGGTGATGTGGGTATGTTTGGAGGACTTGGTCAGAAGCCGAGCACAGGCGTTCTGAACCACCTGTCGACGGTTCAGGGAGGTTCTGCTCAGACACGTGAAAAGAGAGTTACAGTAGTCTAAGCGTGAGGAGATGAAGGTGTTGAGAACTGTCTCAAGTTCAGAGTGGGACAGAATGGGACTCAGCTTAGCAACGTTCCTGAGATGGAAGAAGGAAGAGCCAACAAGAGAACTGACATGACAATCCAGGGTGAGAGCTGGGTCAAAGGTCACGCCAAGATTCCTGACGGAAGGTTTGGTGCGGGAAGCAAGCTGACCAAGAAAGTCTCTGACTTTGGGAACCAGCTTGTCTGGGGCACAGATGAGGATCTCAGTCTTATCTTCATTCAGCTGAAGAAAGCTCCCACCATCCAGGTTTTGATAGAGTCTAAGCAGGTGTGTAACAGCTGCAGCTTAGACATCTCATGGGGCTTAAAGGAGATGTACAGTTGGATGTCATCTGCATAAAGATGGTATGAGATTCCTTTGAAGGAACTCAGGATGTGTTGAAGAGGAAGCATATAGAGGAGGAATAGCAGAGGCCCCAGCACAGAGCCTTGTGGGACACCATGGGTAAGGGAGGTGGTGTATTTCAGAGACTTGTTAACAGATAAATTTGCCCCTCGCTCTTCCCTATCTTCATGCCTTCACCACCTCCAAACCCACATTTCCTGTCATTTTCAACAACGAATAAAAAGTTAGCAGCATCTTTGCTCATCTCGTGGCTGTATTAATGTTTACATCACCACACTTTTTTGCTAGGCATTCAATCTGCTCTCCTTTGTGGTTCCTGCAACAAAAAAACTCCCAATCTCCTTCAAGTACATTTATCTTTTCTTGCTTATATGGAAACATGTAGCATTAAAAAATACGTTCTCAAAACACATATTCTGGGACTGTACAATTTTCTTTATTATTCTCCATTTTCATCTGTTGAGTCAGCCCAACGACCACAATCTGGTACAACGTTATGAAATTGTAAGGTTTGCTGACCAGCTGAATTATTGATGTGTAAACACAGACTGTGCCTTTAAGGCGCACAAGCACCACACATGAATGCACAGCTGTTCTGCTGGCGTCAGGAGGATGTGAACCGGTTTAAAATGCAGGTGCAGATTATGAAAAGGTTCTCTCACAGTTCTGTGTTATTAACGTGCCTATGGTTGTAGTTTTCGGTCACTTTCCTGACCTTCTCCGGAACGACCCAATCAAAGATTCAGCCTCTGGAGCCTTTAGGACGACAATCCAACATCACACTTGTCTCCTTGCGCCTCTACACAGACTCTGAACAACTCTTAGGGATATTCCACCCCTGGATGGATAAGTGGGAAAAAGTATATTGTCACCAGCCTAGCCATTCTTCTAATCTGCCAATGTTATGTTAGCTTTAGCTTAGCATAAACAATTCCAAAGATACATCACAATAAATAACCAGATGACTAAAAATAGAGGCAGTGCATAGAATAGAAACAAAACATGGTGCATGGTGGAGCAGTTGTTAGCACTGTTGTCTTGCAGAAAGGAGGTTGCAGGTTCGAAACACGGCTGTGGCCTTTCTGCTTGGAGTTGCATGTTCTCCCCATGCATGCATGGGTTTCCTCCGGGTACTCCGGTTTCCCAGACCACAATGTTCCTTATAGGTTAAAAATTGTATGTTGCTTTGGATAAAAGCGTCTGCCAATAAAATAAACATAAACACACAACAGAAGCTCAGACCAAAGGTTAATAGGTAGAAATGTGCTTTCATACTGGATTAAACTATGCAAGCAATGGAGTCTGCCGCACAAAAAAAAAGGGAATGTGTTCCAAAGTTTGGGAGCAGTAAAAGAGAATCCCTACGAAATTTGTGGGCTATTTTTGGACCTTAAGGGGTGAGCGAAGCTCAGACAGCTTGATTGTTGAGAGAATTTAGGCAACTGCACCTGGTGGTATGCAGGGAGCTAGTGTAGACCCGCCAGGATGGGTGTGATGTGGCTACGTTTGTCCAAATTGATGAGGAATCTTTCTGCGGCACTCAGAACTTTCTGTAAACAACTGGCGGAGGACACGTTGACAATTACGAGGACTGAATTACCAATCTAGTTTTGAGGTGATAAATGCGTGGATAAGACTCCAAGGACGAGTTTTAAACGTGTAAGGTAGCAAAGTTGGAAGAGAGATTTTACAGTTGCATTTATTAGCAGAGACATTGACCAATCAGCATTTGGTCTGACCCCAAGGCTGGTCACACAGGGTTTGAGGTTCCTTAAGAACCCGTCACAGCCCATTTCAAGCATCTGCAAAATTTCTTCTCGACTCATGTATTCTAGTTTGACAAGTGAAATCCTATCCTTACAGATATCAGAATTACTTTACTTCTTTTGTTCCTTTTTTTCTAAATTTGTATGTATTCTTGTTAATTTTAAAAGCTTGGTCTCTTAAAGCTTAAGGAGAAGAAAGGAGGCAGTAGATGTGCGCAGATTATTTTTTGAGTTAAAGAGAATTGCCTCGGTCTTGTCACTGAGCCGCAGGAAATACGAAGCAAGCCAGCATTCAACTTCCGAAAGACAGTCGGGCCTCAGAGTAGCGCTAGATTGATTTAAAGCCAAAAAATCTGAGTCACCAGCACAGCGCTGGTAATGCATGCCATGTTCTTGCACATTAGAAGGATGTCAATAGAGAAAAGGAATAGACCCAGAATTGAACCCTGGGGCACCCCCCAGGGGAGAGGAGCAGTGTCCCAGTCAGATAGGAGTGGAGCCAGTCTAGAGGGGACCCTTTAGCTCCAACTCACGGAAATCTGCAAAGTCATTGTGATCCAGACTTTTTGTTTTGTTTTAACAAACGAAATCCTTTAGAACTTCTAATTAACCACATTTCAAACTACTTCCCTGCAGACATTCAGTCTCAAACGGAGGCCAAATGAAGAGAAAATACACAAAATGTTTAATCTTTTGATTTCGAAAAGGTCTGTAGTGTAACGAATTTCAATTTTTTTACTCAACGTTGTTTCCATACACCCACAGCGAGAGTTACACTCAGCCTGATCCATTATTTACATATTTTACACATCAGTGAGAACTGCTGAAAGATTTGCAGCCGCGCCATGTTTTTAAACTTTTTTGCATATCGTACAGCTCCTGGTGATATAAACATGTTTAAGAAGTGCAAACATGCGTGTTTGCACTACAAAATACAAACAAGGGGCTGTTCATTTTGTCATTTAAAGCATATTTAAATCCAAGTCGTATCAAGTATTCCAGATTTTACAGACTCCCATTTCCTTTAAACACACCACAGCTGAAGAGGTTTTTGCATATCCTCCACAGTAGCCAAACGACACCATTAACTGACACCATTAACTGACTCGTGTGTGTGTGTGTGTGTGTGTGTGTGAGTGTGTGTGTGTGAGTGAGTGTGTGTGTTTTGAATGTAAAACTTTAAACATTTTTCTAGGACAGAGCTCCCTCTGCTGGTGGGAGCTCCGGTACAGAAAACAAATAAAAATGTGTCATGATGGGTGAATTTTTATTTTGATCACTTTGTTTTCACATTTCATAACATTTACTCATTTTAAAACACCCGTTTTAAATGCTGAGTGAGAGTAGAAACGATACGAGGTGTTTTATTAGACCAGATGTAAAAGTTGAAGCTCTTTTGTAGTGAAAGTGCTTTTTTAGACGACGAGTCCCAGTTTATGAACCTCAGTCAGAATGTCTTCATCATCAAACATCATCGGTTTGTGGCGAGGTCAAAAACGGACATTTGTAATTCACTGCATCATCAGCGCCACGCAGGCGAGCAGCTGGTTATTCGGTCATCATGTCAGCGCCCTCTCCTCCTGTGGCATCTGTCAGACTGAGCTCCTCCATCATCTCCATCAGGGAGATGCGAGGGGCTCCGTCATCATCCGTGTCGCTCTCCACTGGGATCTTGGAGGCATCTGAGGTAAAGAAAGTGTAGTAAATGACCATCTGTTCAGTCTATCTGATTAAACCAGGGTATCTGCAGGTTTAAGGGAGCCAAATTTAAGACTTTTTAAGACCTTTTTTAAGGTCACTTTGACCAAATTTAAGCTATTTTTTTAATTAAATTTAAGCTATAATTTCCAGCTATTGCCTGGAACCGGCGCTAACCACATCGCGAACGTGGGATTAGCCATCCAGTTACCATTAAACTTGCATTTCCCCATGGCGCAAGCTCCCGCTAGCATAACCAGCTAATGTGCTCATCTAAAAATAGCCCCCTTTCACAACCAGTTGAATGTGTGCGGTTCCGCTTACGCCAACATCACACACAAAAAATGCTGAACACAAAACTAGAAATTCACAAAAATTTTATAGAAGTAAAAGAATTTAGTTTATTGGGTCTTTGGTCATTTAAGACCCTTGGAAACTGTATTTAAGGATTATTTGTCATTTTTAAGGATTTTTAAGGCCTTAAATTTGGAAAAGCAAATTTAAGACTTTTTAAGGACCTGCGGATACCCTGTTAAACATATTTGACGGATAATGTGACAAATTCTGAGAACAAACTAAAGAGAGTCAATAAATGAGCCACAGTCTGAAAATATAAACGTAAAAAGCTTTTAAGAAGCTGCTCACCTTTGTAGATGTTGACGTTCTTCCTCAAAGCCTCATCTTCCTCCAGGTCCTCTAGGAAGTCTTGGTATTGTCTGATTAATGGGAAAAATGAAAATAAGAGCCAGTTTATCTGCCACAGAAGATCAAAAACATCCACGGGACATTTTAACTGTTAAAAACCAGTAATTAAAAAAAAAAACGAAGGATTATTGCACCATTTAACCCTTTGATCTGCACTCTAGTGTCACTAAATGTGTGTGTGGGACTAGGGATGGGTACCTTTGACATTTGAATCGATTCGGTACTAATTACCGGTACCTAGGAATCGATACCGGTACTTAACGGTACCAATTTTAGATACTTTTGAGTGTTTAATATTTTAATTCTCTTTTATAATTAAATATATATTTTTCTCAACAATAACCATATTTGATAAATATCACGATAAATAACATACAACTGTTTGTATTTTAACATCGTCCTTGTAGTTTTATAAGCTGATAATTAAACTGAAGCAAACATCTTTACTGTGAACTTAATTTACTGTGTATCTTCATTCCTTTTGCCGTCCTTTTCATTTGATTTTTCCTACTGGGAAGTTAGAATTTCCAAGCAGAAAGTGAACGCACCATTAGCTGATAACAATGGTGACAATGGAAGCTAATATATCAAGCTAACGTTATCTTAAACCGTTTATTTAGCTGCTGGAGCAGATTTAAATGATGATGCCTCACACTTCAATCGTTGTCGCTGGTTTCATCTTCACCCAATCACCCGTCGCATTTAGTAAAGTGAAGCCAAACTTTAGAGCGCGTTCATGTTCTTCTAGTCCGAAATTTGGAGTTCAGAGGAGAAAGCGAACGCTTAAAGGGACTTTACGGAGTTTTGAATTTTTATGCTCGTGATTGCCCCCTCGGGCCAAAAGCGTAACGGCAGCTTCAATAGGAGGCTCGTGCACGAGGTGCGCATGCTGTACGTGCACACTCCTTAACGAAAATAACAGCTGAGACGAAGCTCTGTGAAGCGTCAGCTCTGAGAGCTGACAGTTCCTTTGTGTGTGTGTGTGTGTGTGTGTGTGTGTGTGTGTGTGTGGCCCGGAGGACAGAGGACAGGAGAACGTGCAGCTAATTAATTAAATAATTTGGTTCTGTACCTTTCTCTTCAGCACAGCCGACAAAGGTTTAAGATGGGTCAGTCCTCCTGCATGCTCAGATCATTCCCTTCCCTTGCTTGAAAAATTGTTCCAAAATGAAAGATGAACCCACATCTTTTTTATCTGTGAATTCAATGCCGTTCGGCGAGTTTCAAATAAAAATGTGGGCATCTTACTCTAAAAACAATAAATCATTAATCTAAAAAAGAAACTCTAAAACAACTGTTCACATCCAGAAACGAACCCGGGTCTTCTGCACGAAAGCCCCACATCATACTGGGCGAGCTAAATCGCCAGTGGCGTCTTCTGTATCTGTAACATTTATATCCTTCATGATAGCTGAAACAACGTTCAAACAACGGTTCAGAGGGCGATGCCTGAGCGTGAACACGCATGAAGCAGCCTGCTCGACCCGAGCAACTCTCTTTTTCTGTGATTTTACAGAAAAACAGGCAATCCCAGTAAAAATGCCAGGGCTCATTCTACAGGACCAGGGCATTGCAGGAGAATGTATGAAGAAGACATTTATTATTTCTATACATGTTTTGGCTGTCAAACTTTCATAATGCCCCTTTAAGATGAGGATGTCTCACTTAGATCGTTGTCGCTGGTTTCATCATCACCCAGTTACCCATCGCATTTAGTGAAGTGGACCCAAGCTTTAGCGTGCGTTCTTTCTACCATGCTGCTCTGTTTACAACTCGCTCGCAGCGACCGACGTAAGTTACGCTCTTGCGCACAGTGTTGCCAACTGTTTTTGACTGAAAGTAGCTGAAGTTCCCCCCAAAAGTCGCTAGATGTCGCCATATGGCGTCACGTGCTAATTTACATATTGATGACGTAATCACGCCACATTGGCATTCATTTTCCCCATAGCATCTAATATATATATATATATATATATATATATATATATATATATATATATATATATATATATATATATATATATACACACACACAATGTGTGTGTGTGCATATAGGACTAAAAGGGAGGAAAATAAAAACTATTCTATGTGTTAAAGTTATTAATTAGTATGATTAAAATGGCCCAAATTGCTTTTGATATTTAAAATAAATTCCAAAAGTATCAGTAAAGTGACAGTAAAACAGATATGGTGTGGTGATTCTGTTGTAGGATATAACTCAGACCTCCTGCTCTCCTCATTCTCTCAGACATTTTCCTAAAAAGCTGTTTTTTTTACACCTCATAGTTTCTCAACTTCTCTGTTGTGTTTTCTCTCCATCGTGATAATAACGGCGCACCGAGCAACAGGGAGCGGGTGTCTCATAGTATAACCATCCCTGTGTCACTGAAGGAAATTCAGATGAGCCACAGAGCTGCGTGTGTAAACGGGACGGTAGTTGAAACTCCCGATGACTTTATTTGCCAAATGCAGGAAAAGCCAAAGTGTCTGACGGCTGCAGAACCAGAGATCGCAGGCTGACGCCTGCGCCGTCTCTAGTAGGAGCGCAGCAGCAGACGTAAATCGGCAGCCTCCAGCTCTGCAGCTGTACATTTGTCTACAGCGAATCAGCACGGCCGAAAACGATTTATGATTGGTCAGTCCTCGTGCAGATTATTGTTCTCTTTCCTTACTCCCGGTAGAACGGTTCAGAGTGCAAATGGTTTCTTTGTTGCTAATCTGTAGAGAATATCTTCAAGAAAGTTCTACAGAAAGTAGCAACGGGTCCTGAGAAATGTCGCTAGGTTTGTCGCTAGGCGCTTTTTGGAAAAAAGTCGTCGAGGGGGGTCAAAAAGTCGTTAGGAACAGCGACAAAGTTGCTGAGTTGGCAACACTGCTCGCGCATGCGCAGCTTTCTAGGAAAGTTCTCGTTATGAAGGACGGGTACGAAAACGAGGCACCGTTTCAAATGACGTGAATCGGTGCTCAGTCGGTACCATGGAATTGGGCCGGTACCTTAAAAAGTACCGAATTCGGTACCCATCGCTATGTGGGACTGGTTTTACGTCACCTTCGTTTTTATGTTGATTTAGGCAACAAGTTACCATGGAGACCACATCGACCTAATTAGGAGAGAATCACAGATCTAAACATACAATAATGATCCTACCTTTCATCATCCGTGTCCATGCCTTCACGGTCTCTGGCCATCTCCTGGAGCTTCCAGTTCCTGCGCTTGACTCTCCGGCTGCGATCGTAGCTCTTCTTAATCAGCACCTTTACCACAAACATACCAGGCCGTTCAGAACCAAATAGTTAAAGAACGAGTCCGTTCAGTGGCGTTTCCACTAGAGCTGCATCAACAAGATACACTGAGATCAACATCTGGATCTAGAACGTTCACACCAAAATCTTCCGTCAGGCGCAGCAGAAATTACCACATCAGGAACATGGTGAGGATTCATCTTGTTCAGGTGCTCGTCGTTGATGTTAGAATTGGCAAAGTCGTACCTAAAGAGGACGAAACAGAAACTTTACATTTTTTTTACTTGTTTAATTGCTTTTTAATAAGAATACAGTGAAAACACTTCCTGATTAAAGACCAGGGCCAGCTGGAGCCTCTAACGATCACCATTAATCATGGTTGCTATGGTTACGAACCAAACATTGCATTACTTCTTCTGGAAAAAGTTTTAGGAGGATGAAGAGCAGCAGAGATGGACTTAAACCTAAAAACCGAAGCTCAAAAGCCTCCAACTCACCCCAGAACCAGGTCTCCAATGTTCAGCAGGTGACCCAGGAAGGTCCGACAGTGGTACTGCTGACTCGTATCCATCTCTGATGTTTTCTGGACCCACACCTCAGCCAGTGTGTGCTATAACACACACACACAAGTAGAATCAAACCAGTGGAACAACATTGCTCTCGTACTTTTCCTCCCATTTCAGGACGTTTCCGTTAAAAATGGGGCAACCTTCAGAAACAGGAACAATGCCAGCCTCATTCCCATCCGAAGAACTCTCCTGAGTGGTTTTGTCATCTTGGCTCGGGTCCCACACACGGCTTCAGGGATAATGTAATGGTCTGCTATTGATTTTAGCTCCAAGAAAAGGGCAACGCTCCCCCATAATGCAATCTGTTCTGCACCGGCACACACACGGCCTTACCTTGCTGGACCTGGTGCCAGCTCCAGCTCCCAGCTTCTGGTCCCTGATGATGTCGACGTCCATAACAATGAACTCCTCCAGTTGCCGTGGGCTACAGAGACTGTTGAAAGGGTTACGCCAGTATGTGTTTCCATCCACCTCCGCAACTAACATGTCAAGAGATTAAGAAATATTCATTATAAAACTGGAAAAAAATGCATTAGAAGTAACTAAATCCGAGGGAAATTTAGTTTTACTTCATGTTCTTATTCCTAAAACCATCTCCGTTCCACGGGACAAATTCACTCAGAGGAAAAATAAAAATAAGTTCATTGCCCACGTGACAATGAACCTGATGAAAGGGCTTGTGGACGTTTCTGAAATTCTAAATCCTTCCTCAACAAGAACATCTTGTTCTTTGAAGAGTGATAAAAACCACGTGTGCGGCTGCAGAGTGTCAGGTTTTGGCCGAGACGTTCGCTGGCCTTTTTCAACAACTGACAGGGTGCATCACTCGTTTGTTGGTTGCAAATCTATTTTGCAAACGCATTTGCTGGCCAGAGAGTCTAGATGTGCTGTGAAAGCAGCAGATTTATGCGCTCGACACACTCCTCCATTCTTTTCCAATGAGACCTGCGCGACAAAGCGACAATCGCGGGTGTCCCTCTGCTAAGCGACACGCGAAAACCGTGCATGTGAAAGGTTGTGTGTGTGTGTGGTGCACAGGCGAGCCAGCAACCTGTGAGCGGACAGGATGCTTCTCAGATCATCTCCGGGCAAATGTGAAAGAAAAGTTAATAATAATTGCCATTTGGGACTTCCCAGAGCTTTACGACTAGGGTTGTCACGGTGTGAAAATTTAACGTCACGGTTATCATGACCAAAATTACCACGGTTTTCGGTATTATCGCGGTATTATTATAAACGTGTTACATTTTCAGACAACTAAATAAACCCTGTATATCAGGAAAATATTGTCCTCAGATTGTGTCTAAATTTTGCCTAAAATGTGTTATTTTGTAATTATGTTGTTTATTTGTTTACATTTTTCCCCTTTAGTCTTTAAAATACCAATAATTGCCCATAACTTCTTATTTTTTGTCTGTTTGATGTCATCATTTTAAAAGTATTACATCAGATGATACTCAGTACTCAAGTAGCCAGAAACTTTTTTACCCTTACTTGAGTAATAAACCCTATATCAGGAAATTATTGTCCTCGGTTTGTGTCCTTCCAGTGAGCTTTGCAGACGTGGGAAAATGTCATCAGGCAGTAATCATTGTTAAATTCATAATTATTCTCGGAGAGAGACCAACTCTTATCTGTCCCTGGGAGCCCCGTAATGCATAGCGTCATTTCAACATGGCGGTGTCCGCGACACGGTTTATATGCAGGTAGCGGCGCTGCGGCTGCTTTATATAGCCACTCGTTGCATTCTCCCTCAACCCAAATCCTCGGATCACGCATTTTAGCTAAAACGCTAACGTTAGCTTGCCTTGCGTTGACTGTAGAGTTGTGGGTGATGGTCACGCAGATGTGTCATGAGATTTGAAGCATCGCTGCCTTTCACAGACTCTTTTTCTGCACGTGCTGCAAACAGGATAACCGTCTTCTATCAACTGTCCCTCGGCATTCTTCAAATATCTAAAATATGCCCGTACTTCCCACTTTGTCTTCTTTGAGGGATAATAAATGTGAAATGTCCTGAGCGATGCCGTCTCCTCCTTTGGCCATTATTTCAGCTTTAGCTTCAAGAAAGTTTTGGTTGTAAACAACAAAGTGCGCATGTGCCGCCGGTAACTTCAGCAGATGATACGGTGGCTGGTAAGGGTCACGCGCCTACACCGCAGCCACGGTAACCCACCGAGATATATTTAAAAAAAAAAAAAAGACGGTTATTATTATTGTCAACTTTTTACCGGGGTTTACCGCTACAGTAATCCCTCGTTTATCGCTGTAGATGCGTTCCAGACCTGGCCGCGATAGGTGAAAATCCGCGAAATAGGGACTCCCAGCATGCCCCTCGCGGGGATTCCCTCCACGTCGCACCTACGTCACAAACCGCGGCTATAAACGAAAGTCGCCTTTCTAGCTCACCACTCAGTCATCGTTTCTTCAGATTCATGATCAGTTTCCAACCTACCGATCAATCCAACAAACTATCAGCTCACAGTAAGTTATCTTACTTACTTCTGGAAAGCCCGGCATTTCCGTGTCACTTCGTTGACGCTCGAACGCTCGGGGGTTTCCTAGATCAGCCGGCGTTTCACCGACGCTCTCACTTCCGCGTCTGTGAAACCACGCTCCCTACAAGCTCAACACCCGAATCCAGCCGACCTGTCTGACATACAGTACTATATTGAATTATCGTGTGATCACATTCTCTTTTTGTGGGTAAAACTCAAGAAAAAAAATTTTTTACTTGGTTTTTTTTTAGTTTTATTACAAAAAGTGCATTTAATGATGAAATTGAAAAAAAAACAACAAGAATTTTTTGATATTTCGCATAGAAAAATACCGCGAATCAGTGAAAAATACCGCGAATCTGCGAATTCCCCCTGAAAAATGCTCCAAAGAAAAAATCCGCGAAGCAGCGAATCCGCGATGAACGAACCGCGAAGTAGCGAGGGATTACTGTACACCGGTTCTTCACAAAAGGGCAGCTGCATGGCAAACTGAGTTGGTTGTTGGCTATTCACCGTTCCTTTATCTGTAATACGGGATGAACTCTAGCAAAACCTTTTGAGACTTCTCATCTACCGCTTTTTAAACTCTGAACTGCTTTAATAACCCAAAATTCCCTCTAATCTGACGGCCAATCAAAACAACAGAAGCTCGTCGTTGGCTTTTGCCACTGGCCGCTGCCACCTCCCGCATGTCGAGCCCATAAATCGGCGTGTCAAAGCGAGGTGTCGTTAGGAGTCATCGGCGCTCTCAGGCTGAAGAAAAACTCACTCTGCAGGGTGCGGGGATCAATGAGATGGATGGTGCTGGTGACTCGGATGCACACACAGATCTGACCCATGTTCCCCAGGCTCTGCGCCAGCCGTGGTGAAAGACACACTACATTGTCCTGGAAACAACACACACACACACACACGCACACAAAAAGAGGAAAATAAAATAAAATGAAAGCCAAAAGGAGCAGATGTTATCTTTGCAGCACTAAAGTAAACCAAACCATGCGCTGCTCGGAAAATACAAATAGAACCGAACAATCAGGATTAAAGTGGCAGTATGCAGTTTCCTGGCACTAGGGGGCAGTATATACATTTCGGGGTAGTTTTCTTGTGACATTACGGTAAATGTTAGCTGTGGAGGAGAAAGCACGTGGCTCTTCAGACTTTGATGGTCCTTCAGTTGATTCCATCAAAAGGAAACAATGTCGATGCTAGTTTTCTGGCGCTGTAGTTTTCGGATCTGCTCGGGGGCCTGCGCCTGCCGATGACGTCATCACACTACGGCAATACCGCTAGGCCAAAATATATTGCATCTTTTCTTGATTCTGTTCTTTCACATTTGTTTTTGAAAGAGTTTAACAGTTTTGTTATAAAAAAAAGTGTTTCTAACATGGCAAGGTAACCTCTGTACGTCGTACATCCAGCCAATCATCTAGTGCAGGGGCGGGGAACCCTGGGCCATCGAGGGCCGCTATCCAGCATATTTTAGTTTCAACCCTGCATCATCACACCTGATTTCCATCAGCAGGTGATTGACAGGCTTCTGCTGAGCTTGAGGAGCTGCTGAACAGGTGAATCAATCACTAAATCAGAAGTGTTGGAGCAAAGACGTGCGGGATACCGACCTTTGAGGACCAGGGTTCCCCACTCCTGATCTAGTGTGACGTTATCAACAGGCGCAGGACCCTGAACCGGCCAGAAATAAACATGGCGTCTCCCAAAGACGCTAGACCTGCACCCTATGTACGTTATATCCGATTTTTTTAGTTTCGTCTTACGAAGCCGCCGATATATTTTAATGACTGGACATCATTTTATTCATTTTGATGGATATTTCCTGAGATTAAAAGGTAAAAATATGCACAGTCACTTTAAGATGCATCTGAAAACTACAAATCCACTATTTTCAACCATATTTCTCATCTTTTACGTAGAACTTTTAATTTTTTCTGCTGCATGTGAGCAGATCACTAAAAAAACTTTCTACTGAAGTTAAGGACTTCAGAGGCCACATGCTAGCACAGATCTGGCGTTTGCTGTGCAGGAAGCAAGCATGAATCCACAAATTGTCCAAAACAAATTCAAACTATCCATCCATCCATTTTCTGAACCCGCTTTGTCCTTGTAGGGTCGCGGGGGGGGCTGGTGCCTATCTCCAGCGGTCAATGGGTAATCAGGCGGGGTACACCCTGGACAGAGAGCCAGTCCATCGCAGGGCAACACAGAGACACACAGGACAAACAATCATGCACACACACACTCACACCTAAGGACAATTTAGACAGACCAATCAACCTAAAGCCGGGCGTACACTGCGACTTTTTCACTTTTTTGAGCCGATTTTCCAGTCGTGCGAGAAGCCACGACATCGGGGCGAGTTTTGCGCCGAGCGGTCGTGTAGTGTACAGGGGGTTACGAGAGGCGATTAACACCACGTGACCAGCCGCCGATCAGCAGTCGTGAGGTCGCAGGGACTTCTGGAGTGTTTAAAATTTCGCTCGTCCCTCGTGAGGGTATCGCACTGTTGAAGCGGCGCTGCGAGCAGCTGCGACCCAAAAAGTATCAGAACCGCTCACGGCGCATGCGCGCGCAATCCTGCATCAACGCCGGCCGGTCGCTCGCTATTTCCCTAATAACACACGCTGTTCGTTTTTGTTTCTACACGTTTTTTTTACTCACAAAGATTGTCAAGAAAGCGTGTTTGTCGTGTTCATGTCAAATTAAACTGATCACAAAACACAGATTCACTTTCTTTATTTCGTTTTCCTCATCCAACCCCCATAAATCCCTGTGTGTCCTCCTACAGCACTCCCGAAGCACAACAGGCAAGACAAAAAAGTCTGACGTGTTGAGTAAAAACTGCTATTTTTAGCATATTTTAGGGCCGACGTGTTGCTACCAGACGTACAGTGTGAGCAGTCAGGTCGCATGCGAGAACTGGGTTGTGCAGTGTGAGCACATGACTCGTGAGATCTGCTCTGCGAGGAAGTCGTACAGTTTGAGCTGAAGCTGAACGCTGCGAGTGAAAAAGTCGCACAGTGTACGCCCGGCTTAACAGTCATGTTTTTGGACCGTGGGAGGAAGCTGGAGTACCTGGAGAGAACCCACGCATGCACAGGGAGAACATGCAGAAAGATCCCAGGCCGGGAAGCGAAGCCAGGACCTTCTTGCTGCAAGGCAACAGCTCTAACCACTGCGCCACTGCGCAGCCTCAAATCCAAACTACACAAATACATTTTGTAGACGAGGTTGTTGTATACCTTGCACACCGGAACAATTTCTACAGAGAAAGTGCTCTTATAGTTGTAGGTGTTTGAATGAATGTCGTGAGAGATGAGGCGCTGGGATGTTTTGGACCTTTAAGAGAAACAAAACTGAGTTAATTATTTGGACAGTCGCCACAACTCGCTTTACAAGGAAACAGAAAAAAGAAGTGTCTAGATGCATAAAAATGAAAAAAATCTTATAAAATAAATAAGAGTTAAAATAAAAAGTAATAATAATTTTTTCCCCCCTGGATTGTAAATTATTTTCTTCTTTAGTAGCAACATTTAAATTTAGGAACATCAGTTGGAAAGTTTTGATGCGAGGCTCACCTGCAGGGCACGGTGCACTGCAAGAAGTCCACCATCTTCTGAGCGTGCTGCTTGGAGCCGTAGTAAAAATCAATCCCCTCTAAGAGAGAAAGGAAGGAAGCACGGTCAAACACACATCATCACCAATAAATTCATCAGAGGTGACGCAGACGGCTCGGCTCTGTGTCAAACTCCTACATATGCAAACAACATGCACAGGAAAGCTGGAAATACGGCTGCCACATGCTGAAACCCTCAAATCTTTGAAGTCCTGCCATGATGTATGATTTGACTTTTAGCATTGGGCCAAATTCCACTTCACAATCCGGTCCAGGAGGAGCTGCTGATGAGCCGCCACAGCGTGCGTGTGTGTGAAGTAGCACTTAGCATGTCTAAAAAAGGCTACGGAGCCAGTTTGTATGAGAAACTGGTAAGAAGTGCCTGCTCTGATTACAGAGTACTGATTATACGCAAGCCACCCCCGGGGCCCCCGCGAGGACAGCTGGATAAAGCGATGGCAGCCAGAGATACGCACGCACGGCTTGGGTTCAGGAGGAGGTAATTAACGCATCATTAGGTTCTGCTCTAATCCACATTAGTCCCTCTGATGACAAATGAGGCAGGTTTCCCACTTTTCAGGGGAAGTTAAACTGAAGCTTTGACGAACACAACAGATTCGTGACAAACAACAAAATGCATTACCTACCATGAATTTCTTTGATGTTGAGAGCATTCATGTGCAGTTTATGCTTTAGGAGCAGCTGCTCTAAATAGTAGAAAGTCTTTTTATGAACCGTCTGGAATGAAAAAAAGAATAAGAATAAGAAATATTTTATGTTTTCACTTTTATATATTAACCCAAGAATTGTTTGCAGGTGAAGAGCCTGCAAAGATTGTTGACTTAACCGAAGGCTGGACCACCCAACTCTACAAATAACTAGAAATTATCCCGTTTCTGGGCACTGTTCCAGTCAAACGGCAAGTCTAAGCTTGTTTAAGGTAGGCGTCACCTGTATAACTATGGAAAAGTATATAATATGTATAGAAAATACGGCTAAGAGAGAGGTAGAGGATAAACAAGAGAGGTCCAAATACAGAGCCCTGGAGAATGCCAGGAAAGAGGAGGGCATCGGGATCTCAATGACTTAAATTGAATGAACAGAGAAATTATTTTAACCAGTTTAGGGTTTTATCAGCATGAAAACGTGCATCAAAGGGGGGCGAGTATGGCCCGAGTCATGCTTCTGCGTCAGTGCGGAGACACGCAACGCCATTATCCGCCCTTGTGGGCCTGCTGGAGAGCCTCGCAAGGACGGATGGAGTCGAGCTCTCTTTACTAAACATCCATCCGTCGAGACGGAGAACGCAAGCTTGTGATAGGTCAGGGCACCGCTGTCGTCTACACCGCCGCCATTGCGCCCCCAAAAACATAAAGAGAGTCGAGAATAACTAGCGGCAGACACGGAGAAGCTTGAAGAACACCTCGTGAAAAAACTAAAAATATGAACGTTTCATTTCCCGTGACTGGAGGAGTGAAAAGATGCGCAGCAAGCGTTTTATTTGTGGACGGAAATGACAGGAAACGTGGGTTTAGAGGTGGGGAGCGCATGAAGAGGTGGAGGAGGATGAGAGACAAATTTGTCAGTGTTAAAAAGTCTCTTATATACAAAAAAACACAACATAAACACACTATCTTGGACCGATACATGACAGGATACCACAGAACAGCGCTACGCCCTCTGTTGTCCTGGCGGGGAATTGCTTTTAAACACTCCCCAGGAGACGTATGAGGGCAAAATGTCTCCGTCTGTGCGTGCGTCTCTCTCCCTGTTGGAGCTGACGGAGAAGCATGACGCCGGGGACACACCGGCCGCCGAAGCGCCGCGAAACGGAGACCGCCTTCATTCGGCGCCCTTGTTATTCTATTCTATATGGGCCGCCGAAGCGCTGCGCGCACCGGCGCTCCAGCCCGCGCCGTGCAGCGATCGTTTCGGCGTCTGCTCTATTTTTTTTCGCGAGCCGCGGGTGAACCGCGTCAATTCTGGCAGGAAGTCAAACCTAGACATAAGAGGCAGGCCGGTGAATTTAACAAAATAAAGCATTTCAAAATACAATTCCGCGATAGTCAAATGTGTTCGTAAACAGACGCTGCATAAAAACCACACACACACACACACACAGCGAACTTTGTGTGTGTGTGTCCACGTGAAAGGGGTGTGGTTTTGGGTGTCTTTCAACCGGAGCAAACAGGACAGAGGCAGAAAGTCGTAGGACAGCTATTAACTGGTTCACACCATAGGTTCACACACACACACACACACACACACGTACAAACACACGCACAAACAGTAAGGAGGAGGGGGGTGTAGAGGAAAAGAGCAGAGAAAAGGCAGAGAGGAAATGGAGGACGCCAAGCGGTTAAAAGAAAAACTACGAGGCGCGCCTCGACCAGAGCGGAGAAACAAGCGTCTGGTCTGAACTGAGCAGCGGCCGAATTTCGGAGCGCTTCGGCGGCCGGTGCGTCCCCGGCCTGACTCAGGCTTTAGAAGCAGTAGCTTAGCGGCAGAGCAAGAGGCAGCGTTGCCAACTCGGCGACAAACCTAATAACATTTCTGAGGACCCTTTGCTACTTTCTGTAGAGCTTTCTTGTAGATATTCCCTGAAGATTAGCTGAGGCTACAATGGAGCGTGGCTAGACCGACTTGCAGAGCAAAACCTTATGCTACTGCAACGGCTTGTCTAAATTTCCAGGCCAGTACTTTAGTGCACCAAACTCCCGGTGCACGAAGTTATCATTCCTACGTCTGTGCAGAGGTGTCAGAATAAGATTTACCATTTGTAAAAAACAATTCCTCAGTAGACCAACCTTCTGCCTCACTTGAACCACTGCCTTCCAGAAGTCTTTGGCCTCCACACGATGGCAGTCGTCACACATCTGTGACTGGATGACAAACTCCACCACAAACACCTGCTGCAGGATCGCGCCATTCATCACCTGGAGAGGGGAGTAGCAACTTGCACCTGAATCTCCCTCAGCTGCATGCAAACGTTAACGTGTTTAAACCTTTTATTAAGCACAATGGTTGCAAAGAAAACTACAGGTTTTAAACATCTGAAGTTAAAACAGCTAAAAATAAAAAAGAAAAAAGAAGGGGCAGGCCATCACCCAACAAGAGGTGTTGGCACTGAGAAGCACAATGGCTCGATTACTTCCTAAAGGTCAAAAGGATGACATGACAGTCAAAGAGAAAACGTTCTCAGTCACACATTTGTTTCTCTGCTGTATAAACAGCTGGTGATTGGTGATCTTCAACAAGTTTGCAGAACTGTTTTCATGTACTTAACAGCTTTTCTTCAAGACGAGACAAATGCAGTCAGTCAAACAAAAATGAGATCAAATCTAGTTTGAGTTTCTATTAGGGATGTCCCGATCAGGTTTTTTTGCCCTCGAGTCCGAGTCATTTGATTGTGAGAATCTGCCGATACCGAGTACTGATCCGATACTTTCGATACATAAAAAAAAAGAAAGAAAAGGAAGAAACAGTTCCAGAATGTTCCTTATTTTTTATTTAATTACCTTTTTATTTTAATTTTTAACAACAGATCACTTCTGTGAGGTAGCTTGAACAATCAATAAATAACATAAATTCTTCACTTTTGGACTTTATTGCAAATATAAAACGTCTAATATAAAAACAGATGGCGCTTCAACTTAAAATACCTGGCAGGGGTCTACTTTGCCTCGGCCCCCAAAATGCTTAGATACGCCCCTGGACATGGGACGGGGTTTTGAAGATGATCTGAATCGTATCAACTATATAAAAACTACATGCTGATAAATTATTGCTTTAAACAGGTACAAACGTGTAGTGGGATCAATCTACCTACATTTTATTTTTTAAGAACTTTGTTTTGTTTTCTTGGTTTTTATTTTCCTGTCTTCCTGTCTGTCTCCGATCTTTCTGCATCTCCCAGTCCTCCAGAAAAACTCCTGCCTGCTTCCTTCTTTTTCACCTCACAAGTAACTTTTTAACTAGCAGATCAAATTGCTCTATTGACTGCAAAAAAAGCGGAGTGTGCGCCGCGCTGCCCGGCTGCGCCGGTGACGAGCGCTGCAGCGCGAGCGCGTCCACGCGTCATGCTCAAATACAGACAGAACTTACCAGAGAGAAAATGAACGGACACGAATGACTGTGTGCTAATTGTATATTTTTGGTGACGCCACTTAGAAACTTAGAAAATGTTACTGTGGCCGTGTGCAGAACGCAGCTGGAGTTCATGAATAATCAGCGGTCTGCCCACCGCTCTCTCTGCTCAAAAGAATCCCCGCTACGCTGAGTCCATATAAATAATATAACATAGGTAGAAAGAAACTGGATATTTTTTGTGCTCCTTCTGGGTATCTTAAAGCTTGGTTTATGCTCGACACGTCCGCGAGGTTCGCACGGCTCCACGCGGTAAAATTGCGTCATTTTAACAACCACGCCCCTCCACCGCGCCTCCGCACGGCCCAAAATTTCCGCACCGCGCACCTAGGAAATTTTCTAACCACGCGGATGGTCGGACGTGGAAAAACATGGCGGACTGGCAAGAACTAGTGTGGTAGAGGTTCGTAAATACAGACATTTGTATGATTCAGCTCTCAGAGATCACCGTGATCAACATGTTGTTAATAATTCTTGGAGAGAAATAGCTCGCACTGTCGGAAAAGACGAGGACGCTGTTAAAAAATGCTGGAATGCCATGTTGTAAACAACAGTAATTTTTACTTCTACTATGGTTTAGTGTTGGATGCATGCAGTAGAGCTCCATGCTGCCCCCTACAGTTTGGGAGAATATTGGCTCACCGCAGAGACAAGCCGCATGAACCATAAACGCTGCAATTTGTGAAGCGCGTTCCATCCGCGAGCCGCACCATCAAGCGGAAAGTAAATGCATCAAGCATAAACCAAGCTTTACTTAAGGGCATCGGGGAGCCTGACAACCTTTAAGGAGAACCAAGTTGCTCTTCTGTAATATGAACCCAGTATCCGAGTCCGGATCGGGAAGTAAAGCCCGAGTCCCGATCAGTCTGGAACCACTGATCGGGGCCGATTTCCGATCGTGTGATTGGATCGGGACATCCCTAGTTTCTATCTTCCCACATTTATTCAGCTTTACCTCTTTCTGGACGGTCAGTTTCATCTTAATCCTCTTGGAGTGCGGCTCCGTCCACAGGAAGCCAGCATCAATGAGACGAACCTGTTAAACCCAGAATGCTATGAGCCCACATCAAGGACCACTGCGAACATCCTCATCACATGTCCAGGAAATTAAAAAGGTCAAGTTATGATAGTTGATGTCAACGTAAATGAAATAAATCCATAAAGACTCAAATATTTTATACTCTGAAGTGTGAACATGTAAGATTTAAATTAGGGCTGGGCAATAAATCGAAAATTTAGCGTTATGGAAATTTGTGACTCTTAGAGATCATTTTTCGCCATGTCAATAAATTTGATTAAAAAAATGAAAAGACGTGTAGGTTGGCAACATTCATGTCCCTTTAAGAAGCTGTTCCACCTACAGTCAAGTAAAAATGTGACTCAATGTAATACATGTGACTCCATTATCCTTATTGAGGGGAAATCCTCAGTATGATGATATTGGTTTTAGGCCACATCGCCCAGTCTTAATTCAAATTCATGTTCATTTTGTGGACTAGGGTTGTCACGGTGTGAAAATGTAACCTCACGGTTATCGTGACCAAAATTATCACAGTTTTCGGTATTATCGCGGTATTTTTTTAAACGTGTTACATTTTCAGACAACTAAATAAACCCTGTATGTCAGGAAATATTGTCCTCAGTTTGTGTCTAAATTTTGCCTAAAATGTGTTATTTTGTAATTATGTTGTTTATTTGTTTACATATTTCCCCTTTAGTCTTTAAAATACCAATATTTGCCCATAACTTCTTATTTTTTGTCTGTTTGATGTCATCATTTTAACAACATTAGACCAGATGATACTCAGTACTCAAGTAGCCTTCTAATCAGATACTTTTTTACCCTTACTTGAGTAATAAACCCTATATCAGGAAAATATTGTCCTCGGTTTGTGTTCCAGTGAGCTTTGCAGATGTGGGAAAATGTCATCAGGCAGTAATTATTGTTAAATTCATAATTATTCTCGGAGAGAGACCAACTCTTATCTGCCCCTGGGAGCCCCGTAATGCATAGCGTCATTTCAACATGGCGGTGTCCGCGACACGGTTTATATGCAGGGAGCGGCGCTGCGGCTGCTTTATATAGCCACTCGTTGCATTCTCCCTCAACCCAAATCCTCGGATCACGCATTTTAGCTAAAACGCTAACGTTAGCTTGCCTTGCCTTGACTGTAGAGTTGTGGGTGATGGTCACGCAGATGTGTCATGAGATTTGAAGCGTTGCTGCCTTTCACAGACACTTTCTGCACGTGCTGCAAACAGGATAGCCGTCTTCTATAAACTCCCTCGGCATTCTTCAAATATCTAAAATATGCCCGTACTTCCCACTTTGTCTTCTTTGAGGGATAATAAATGTCCTGAGTGCTGCCGTCCCCTCCTTTGGCCGTTATTTCAGCTTCAAGAAAGTTTTGGTTGTAAACAACAAAGTGTGCATGTGCCGCCGGCAACTTCAGCAGATGATACGGTGGCTGGTAAGGGTCACCGCGCCTACACCGCCGCCACGGTAATCCACCGAGATAATATAGTTTTTAAAAAACAAGACGGTTATTATTATTGTCAACTTTATTACCGGGGTTTACCGCTACACCGGTTACCGTGACAACCCTATTGTGGACACAACATTGCTTTTATCAAATAATCTTCAGTTTTGAACCCTGAATTTGTGTAAGCTTGTTTTCTGTATCAAACAAAGTGACAAGCTTTATCAGAATCATAAATTATGCGTTAAATAACCTCTCTGAAGCTCCTCCGTTTTAAATTAACTAATATATGCTTTAGGTTGAGCCATTCAGTGTTCACGTTGACCTAACATTTTTCTACACGTGTGATTTTGTTTTAGTAAAGTTCTGCAAGAATCTGTCTTACTTTTGTCATTGAGCTCTTAAGCTTTTTCAGACAAAGAGCCAGGAGCTCCCTGGATTCCAGAGCACATTGCACCCAGGTGGCTGGTGGCTGCAAATACCTGCATGAAAAGAACAAAAATGTAATCAAATGAAGAAAACCACCAATGTGTTCATTAGGATTGTTTAAAAAAATCATGCATGACTGATTTATGTTTATAAAAATGCCTAAAAGATACCGTTCACACTGCTTGCAGAAGTGCACTGTGACTTGTTTGGGAATTCCCTCTGAGATGTCGACCTGAGTGCGAAGGCAGGCCACACACATGTTGGCTGGGTTGGGAGGGATGGGGACACCACAGGTACAGCACAGGCTGTGGAGAAGAACGTTCCTCGGTTAGCTCCTTAAGCCTGCCGCACACAAGAGCAAACGGCCTGGAATGGCCGCTTGCTCAGCAGATACCTCGCTGTGTGCGCCTGATTTTCACAGAGTTTTCTGCCTCATGAGACGCTGAGGTGAATATCTAACCGGTTTGATATTTTCCGCTTCACGGGGGTAAAATCTCGTTGTGTGCGCACTACGTGAGCTGCTGGCTGAGATTAAATATTCTAGTGGCCAAACAAAGGGCGTTCACCGTTCTCTGCTGAGCAAACGGTCATTCGAGGCCGTTTGATCAGCAGTTTGCTCTCGCGCGTGGCCGGCTATAGTAACCTTTCTAGAAAACCAATGAGCATGCTCACATTGGAAATGGTTTAGAGCAGTGTGTGTCTACTAGTTTTTATTTAACCAGATGAGTCAACTGAACTCATTCTCATTTACAACGACGATCTGGCCAAGAGGCAGCAGCAACTAGTGAGAAATGCTGTGAGTTGCACTCTTTTCTGCTAAATGTGAGTTGCTTTCCACTCATTCAGCAAACTTGTGAATACGTTATAAATGTGGAATCCATATTTCTGGTCTTGAAAGACAGTAAAATAGGTGCTCTTTGAACAACCATCTTTCAGTGGCCACGTAAGTAAATGTCAGTATGAACTGAACTTGTTGCAAAGCCTCATTATTCATTTAGTTTGTTTTTATAAACAGCATTGGCCAATTTTAAAACACGCTAAGCTGATTTACAGGCAAGTTTGTTAGTAGGCAGCCGTAGAATATTGGAATAATCACACCATTTAATGTTATTTACGAACTTAACGTGATCTGGGGATCCCAAGTATGAAATTGTTAAAAGGTGGTCCTGGAATTTAGCGACAGGTTCCAGTTGATGTAAAGAAAGCGTTGCATTTTAAAAGGATTAGAAAACTTAAGAGAAAAACACTGACTTTACTTACATGTTGCCCTGGCTGCTGGGAGCAGGGGCTTGCATGTACTCCATAATGATTCAACTCTGAAGACCCGTGGTCCCTGAAATCAAAAAGTTTTATTTATCTCAGACCTAAACCTTTTTATACTAGAAATTGTTACCAACTCAAATTGTTTCTTTTTTTAGATATTATTCTGCGATCCATACAAAAATGTGTCAACATGACCGCACGCAGTTTGTATTCATGGCGTTAGCATAGAGGCTAACCTGATTATTACGAATAATTTTTAAAGATTATCATAAAAATACGCTGAAAACAAGAGCCGATGGTTTCCGGTAACTACGACTGTATAAACGAATCCTGACAAAACACCAATAACGTTATATTAAAGAGAAAGTCTCGTTGTACCGTCTATTTCAACCCTCCACGTTTTCGCCACGGCGACCAAGAAGCCTGCGCTGCGCAGGCAGAACTGCAGGGCCCCGACGCTGTCCTCGCTATGCCTGAACAAATTTCCTTTTGACGCAACCAACTGAAAATCTTTTAACTAGTTTATGGTTATTTGCCTGATAATTTGGAAAAAGGAGAAAACAGTAAAATAATATATTAAACATAAACGAGTATGAAAAGAAAACAAGTTCTTAGAAAGGTTTCAATGCAGAATCTAAGTTTTAAACTAGCCTACAAAAATGTATCAAGCAATATAAACTGTTCTCCAGCCTTTTACATAAGCGCAGTCGATGCGTTCCAGCATTTTTCTGACTGAACAATAGAATTTAAAAAAATTTGAGTAGTGACGTTCTCAGTTATTTAAAATGAAGGCTAACAATTTTAATATGAATAAAACTCCACGTGACATTCACCGCATTTGTTATTTATATATGTATTTGCTATGTTGAACAAAAAAAACTACATAAACTGACAGAGAAGAAAAATATGTTTTACTCTGAATCCATTGTATTTGTGATATATTTTGTCAGCATTTATATCTGAATCATCTGCATATATACTGAAATCACTGAATTAGGGGAAAAAATGCGTTCATGTCTTTCAAGGCACCTGTCAGACAGTTGTCGTGATGCGTTCGAATGCTGTCGGAAATGTTCCTATAAGTTGAAACTTGTTTGTTTCGTTTGTTTGAAAACGTGCTTTGGGATTCTGCTGTAGCGTAAGGACATTTACTTACTTACATTGATAGAACCAATTGATTATGGGATGCAAAATTTAGTCTTCATTTCTTTTTAGGTGAGTGCTTCTGTAATTATTGTAGTTTTTTATTTTACAAGTTTTACAACGAATTCCTGTCCAAACTGGGGCTTTTTCAAGCTATTTGTGGACATTTTAAGTAATATTGTTGCAATTTTGTGTTTTGTAATGTGTTTTACTTGTTAAAGATAGTTTCTTTTTACATTTTTGCACTCCACATATTGATACTGTTTCATTCTATTTTAGTTAACGCGTATTCCTGTTTTACATGACAGACAGGTGTTGTAAAAATGTGAAGGATGGGGGTAACATAAGAACTGGCGGAGGAGTTTAAAATGGGTTTATTTGTAACAAAAAGGTATTAAAACACAAGCAAACAGATCTCTCTAAAAGGTTAACATTACACAGCAAATTAACCATAAAACATCTGGTTAAAACTTGTATTAAAAGCTTAAAGAGCAAGTCACCCCCTACAAGAAACTTACTTCGCTCCCTCTTCATGTTTGAAAAATGCAACAAATGCTGTTGCCTAGCAGACAGAGAGGGCGGAGCCGCAAACCAATGCACATACACACAGGCTCACAACGACATTGTGACATCATAAGGACCAGTTTACATCATAGCATACCTCTTAGCCAATAGCGGTGGCAGATTTAAATTCAAATGCAGTGCAGAGTTTTTACCTGACGACGGCACAACATTGACAGTTTTAGGCAGAATATTTAAATTTTAACTAAGATGCACTGAAGTACCAAATTATTGACTACACGTGTCTGCAGCACGATTAGACACGCATTTATGTAGTTTTATCAGCAAAAAAAAGTTTATTTGGGGGTGACTTGCTCTTTAACCGACCAGAAGGTGTTGTAAAACCCTGAAGTTGATAAAAATTCCAAAACAATCCACTGACTAAAACACCTGGTAAAAACTTATTTTAAAAGCTTTACCACAACGAAAGGTGTTTAAAACCGAGGTCAGTACAATTGCCACAAACAAAGTTAACCTTAAAACCAAACACACAAAAGATCCCACTGGATCATCCACAACTTCTCACTAAGAGTTAAAAAACTACCAAAGTTTAAAACTCAAACAAATCCAAATGAAAAGGGGTTGAAACTGGTCAGACTGGCAACCATAATAATGACTGCCTTCTGTAGTCATTATTATGTTAGGTTCTTGGGAAGTTATCAATGCAGAAACAAATACAGATTGTGAGTTATTGTTTTCATATTTCGGAACATTTTACAATGTTTTGTGTACATTATTTTACATTTTTGGTTGGTTTCACAATAACGTGATAGTTTTACATGTGATTTCTCGCTGATTTACACTTTTTTTTTTTGAAGTGTGAATGCCAACAGGAGATTCCGAGCAGCACGCGAAGCACGTGAAGGCAGCAGCGTCTTTTAGAAACTCGGCAGCTCAGCCTCTCAGTCGGCGAGGGGCCACCGGGAATGTGAGGGCTTCAGCTCTCGCTGTTTCAGGACTGGGGACTCCAGAGCTGGCCGGGAGAGGTTCTGACCAGCCTGAAAGCTAAAACATTTGTTTATTTTTAAGTCCAAGACGACGTGCAGCATATTTCCGCAGGTGGTGCCAGTGTTGTCGGACCCTAGCTGATGGTCAGCCGTTGGTGGTTCGCGCTGCTTCGGGGCTACATGCTAGAAGGAACCTGCTGGAGCACCGCGTCGGTTCCCCTCTCTGCCCGGTGGCTCCGTTTAGACATGCTCTAAAATAGTCACCTGTTCAGTGTGAGTAGCGTTAATGTTTCCTGGCGTGAAACGCGTTAAGTGTGCGCACTTCACCGCAGCTACAACACCAAACACGCCAGCGACGATGAAGTGAGATCTGCGGCAGGAGCGACGAGGCGCCGAACAACCTGCCGTGATTTCCTTCCTGCACGTGAACAAATAAATGATAGAGGATACGATGACCCTGCTGTCACTTTTAGGTCGGATCATGCGTTATTTTCTGCTCAGACCGGAGACTTTGTTCCTGCTGTGCATCAGCCTGGCTCTGTGGAGTTACTTCTTCCACACGGACGAAGTCAAGACCATCGTCAAGTCCAGCCGCGATGCGGTCAAGATGGTCAAGGGGAAAGTGGCGGAGATGATGCAGAACGAGCGGTTCGGCGGGCTGGACGTCCTGGACGCGGAGTTCTCCAAGACCTGGGACTTCAAGAGTAACAATGTGGCCGTGTATTCCATCCAAGGCCGGCGGGATCATATGGAGGACAGGTTTGAGGTGCTCACAGACCTGGTAAACAAGAGCCACCCGTCTATATTTGGGGTTTTTGATGGCCACGGAGGAGAGGTGAGTCTGCTTTATTTGACTTTTTATTGTTTTTGTCTGAATAAGTCCCTGTTCTACACAGATTCACCTTAGTGTGAAATCCTGGGGGGTCATTGAACTGGACCGCAGCAGGGGTTATGAAGTATTATTTTAAACAGGAAAACCTCAAGTTTATTTTGAATTTCTTTGAATGTTGTTTTTAATTCTCGTGATTGACGAGGAACCCAAATCTTACTCTTTCATGTCCGTGTTGAAAGTTAAATTCACAGTCAAGGTATTATTGCACCTGCATTTGCTGTTTTACCTTCACTTCTCATTATTTGTCTCAGCCTTTAGACAGATGGTTGAAATACTTTCAAATCCATGCTTCTGTGAGGCTTTTAAAGCTTTTGCTACTGTAACTGCTACTGCACACATAACATTTGCTTGAAAAGAAAAAGGAGTAAAAATATTTTGAGCAGATGCACATTTTAGGAACCATCACCAAATGTTCCTGGCTATTAAAGTGCAAGTCACCCCCTACCAGAGTCTTAACTCCCCTCCCACTTCATGTTTGAGAAATGCAACAAATGCTGTTGCCTGGCAGACCGGGAGGGCGGAGCCGGTAGCAAATGCACACACACACACACAGGCTCACAACAGCATTGTGACATCATGATGTACCAACTAACGCCATTGTGTACTTCTTAGCCAATAGCGGTGGCAGATTTAAATTCAAATGTAATGCAGTTTTTACCTGACAACAGTTTAAGGCAGAATATTTAAAGAGCAAGTCACTCCAAATCAATATTTTTTTTGCTGATAAACTATATAAATGAGTGTCTGATCATGCTGTAGGCAAATGTAGTCAATAATTCGGCATTCTAGTTCTTCATAGTTAAAATTTAAATTTTCTGCCTAAAACTGTCAGTGTTGTGCCGTTGTCGGGTAAAAACTCTGCACAGCATTTGGATGTAAATCTGCCATCGCTATTGGCTAAGAGGTACACTACGATGTTAGATGGTACATTATAATGTCACAATGTTGTGAGTGTGTGTATTCGTTAGTGGCTCCGCCCTCTCAGTCTGCTAGGCAACAGCATTTGTTGCATTTTGCAAGCAGGAAGTGGGAGTTGAGTAAGAATCTGGTAGGGGGTGACTTGCTCTTTAAATTTGAGCTAAGATGCGTTAAAGAGCAAGTCACCCCCTACCAGAGTATTACTCCGCTCCCACTCCCTGTTTGAAAAATGCAACAAATGCTGTTGCCTAGCAGACCGAGGGGGCGGAGCTGCTAACAAATACACACACAACGGCTCACAACGACATTGTGACATCATATGGTACCAGCTAATGGTCTAGGGTACCTCTTAGCCAATAGCGATGGCAGATTTAAATTCAAATGCAGTGCAGAGTTTTTACCTGACAACAGCACAATGCTGACAGTTTTAGGCAGAAAATAAAAATTTTAACTAAAATGCACTAAAGTGCAAAACTATTGATGACACGTGTCTGCAGCATGATTAGACACACATTTATATAGTTTATCAGAAATAAAAAGTTGATTTGGGGGTGACTTGCTCTTTAAAAAGCCAAAAAAGTGCTACAATTTGATTATGGCAAAAGGTGGTAGATCATGTTGTTTAGCATAAGATAATCAAAAGGGAGATTTAAAGGTGTAGAACTCCTGGAAAAACAATTTTTAAATGATTATTCCTGATTATAATCGGTCACCCTGAGTTTTTCATGCAGGGTCCTGCTTTAGCTTCTGAGAGAAAACCGACAATGAAAATCTAGGATTTGAAAAGCCTGACGGCTCTATGGCACATTGTCACTTAGCATTCATGGACTCAACCATCTTGACTCGCGATGGAAAGGATGTTGTTGCCTTCCTGGAATCAGCAGACAACATCCTGACTAGAGGCTAACATTTAGCATTAGCAACTTCACCACACAGCATAACTCCTCCAGGCTTGTGTTATTTGTGGAGATCCATGTCGCAAGTCAGTGGTAGAGTCAGAATCAGCTTTATTGTCAGTGCTCTAGCATCCCGAAGCACAGAAATTTGACTCTGAAGTACAGCCTGACCAAGGTTACACATACAGGCAGACTATGAGAGCTGCCATTCAAGGCGTGTGTTTTTTTTCCCCCTGCTTAGCTCTTTTCCCTCTTGCTGCTTTCTTCACTGTGGTGTTCATTTTTAGATCACCACTGAGCTAACTTCTAGTCATGTCTAAATACATCCAGAAGGCTTTTGGAGATAAATATGTACTTTAATACTTCTATTCTTGTAAAGCACCTCGTGATTTTATCTTGAGAGGTGCTATATGCAGAATTGTTTCTTCTTCTTCAGGAGGTGTTTGTGTCTATGTCAGATAAGAAATACGAGTGGGAGAGGAAAAGTGCTGAGTGTACGGCTAAGTTGAATGCACGAGTCTGTTCTCATTATTGCATGTCTGTGGATGACAATTACGCTCTCTTTTGAAGTTTGTGGAACGGTTGCCAGACAACGACCTTCAGAGGCACTAGGGATGGGTACCTTCGACATTTGAATCGATTCGGTACTAATTCCCGGTACCTAGGAATCGATACCGGTACTTAACGGTACCAATTTTAGATACTTTTGAGTGTTTAATATTTCAATTCTCTTTTATAATTAAATATATATTTTTCTCAATATATAACCATATTTGATAAATATCACAATAAATAACATACAACTGTTTGTATTTTAACATCGTCCTTGCCAGAAAACGTACGACTCAGGGGGTACGTGTGGCCAAAGGCGGCACCAAGAATGTGATCTGCCTCAGCTGGCTTTTTAGTTTGCTGTCGAAACTTTTATTTGTTTATGCACACACAATCGGTTCATTTAAACCACATAATATTGAAGCAGTTTCTTTGTCAACATCTGCCTGTTCTAGATGCAGCATCAACAAGTTCACTAATCCTGTGTTGACTAGAGATTTAATACACACTTTCAGTGGGGTGTCGGCTCTGATAAAGGATCAAGATAAAGGTGATCCAGTGCAAATTAATAATTATTTCAGTCATTAATTTCTCATAGTATTTTCTCCTACCTCCCAAAAGATAAGGTGGGCGATAACAATTTTATTCCTGAAGTTCATCCTTGTTCTTTGTCTCCATCCTTTTGACTCTTCTTCTGCTTCAGCCGTGGCTTCCCCTAGCAACGCAAGTCATACACAAGCCCCCACAATGCGGCTCTAAAATTGGGCCCAACCCGGAAGTACTAAAAATTGCAGTTCCACCCTCATCCACTAGGGGCTGGTGTCAGAAGCGAGCAAATCCTCATTGACTCCCATGTTAAAAATACCATAAATAAACATGTTTACAGCCTGGTTCCAAAACATGTTTTTGGTTTAAATGATCTAGTTTACACTCATGACAACTCTGAGGGGGGTGAATTTTTTTCTCACTCTTCTTTTTAAGTGTATTAAAAGCCTAAAATTCTGTATAATTAATGAGCATCAGACCCACGTGACCGCAGAGCTAGCTACGTGGAAAGGCCTCAGTAGAGCCTCGGTCTGGCTTGGAAACTGCTCCGGGATTTTGAGTCTCTGTGTTTGTGTATTCTTTTTTGGATATTTTTTGTGCAATTGTTGGACAAAATGACTTGCTGTGGCATTAATTGCACTAATAGAGCGTCCAAGGAGTCTCCACTTCATTTATTTCGGTAAGTAAAATTATATTTATGTGTTTTAGGTCACTGCCGAGCTGAGCTTAGATTTTAACATGTACTGTTTAACCATGAAATTTAAATGTAATAGGGTGAAACCCAGTGCATTTACCATAACGCTGCACTTTAGAAAATTGGTTGAAATATAACATGTTGGTGGAGCTGGGTTCTGACTATCGGCTTGTGGAGCTCTCGGGAGACCGATGTTTTCCACTCGTTTCTCCCCTCCCCGCAGCTCGGCGCATCTCTGTCTGATCGCGGCTTCTGTCTGCTGCGCGGGTTGACGGCTTGTGGAGCTCTGGGACGGAAACCTTTCCACCCGGTTCTCTCCAGCGGCAGCTCTGCGCATCTCAGATCGCAGCGGCGCTTGTCTGCTGTGCGGCTGCCGGCTTGTGGAGCTCTCGGAGACCTCTGTGTTCCACCCGGTTTTACCCAGCGGTCAGCCCGGCGTATCTCTGACTCAGAAGCTCTGGTGTTGTGCACAGTTAACTCCGGTTGTAGCTAGGTTGCTACCTCCGTTAGCTTAGCTCCCACCTCCGCATTAGCTTTGGGTTAGTTTGTGGCTAGTTCGACCGGGTGTCGTCAGTTGATCCCAGCCTTACAGCCCCACCCTCAGCCCCTCCTCTCTTCCCTTTTATGGAATTGTCTGGGCTTGACGGAACATGTGACACGGTCAAAATGGCGGTGGTGGCCACCTCCCATTTTAGTACAAAAACGTGTTATTGGAGCCTATGGAAAGGAGATGTCCAGTATATTTATGTCGATGGTCATGCATCCAAAACGGCGCTAAGGGAGTGTGGTTTACATGTAGGTCACGTGTCTGACAAAGATCGATAAATTGAAGCAGGAAAAATAACTGAGTTCATTTTTATCTGTTGTACGATTAGTTGATTCGATTATCGTCCAGCCCTAGCTATATCAAATACAGTTTATTCAAAGAGTGGATGTATTTGCGTCTTCTTCGACGGTGTGTGGCGAACTGCTCCGTCGGCTGTCATCTGTAGTGGTATTTCATGTTGTCCAATATAGGGCTGGGCGATATGACGATTTTAGACCGTTTTACGATCTACACATCTGACGGTCTGTCATTTTTGAGAGACCTTTTTATCACGATTCACAGCTCTGCTGTTGAATTTCTGGAAAACGAGAAAAACAGATTTTTGTAATTGTTTCTCTCAGGGCTTTTATATCTCTGGTGTGAGTTTAAAATATAAGTGTGTTAGCACTGTGTTGATTATCCCTAATATGAATAAATGTTTATTCAATGTTTCTCTTCTTTAATACGCAATTGAAGTTATGCTATTCATGAATAAAAAATCGTGATAAAATATTGGAAAAATCCTGATATT